CTCAGGCTGGTTTCGAACTCCTGAGCTCAAACAATCCGCCCGCCTCGGCCTCCCAGAGTGCTAGGATTACAGGCGTGAGCCACCGCGCCTGGCCGTCAAGGACTTTTAAAAAAAAAAAAAATCACCATAGAGGCTGGGCACAGTGGCTGACACCTGTAATCCCAGAACTTTGGGAGGCTGAGGCAGGAGGATTGCTTGAGGTCAGCCTGGCCAACATAGCAAGACCCTGTCTCTAAAAAAAAAAAATTAAAATAGCTGGGCATGGTGCTGCATGCCTGTAATCTCAGCTACTCAGGAAGCTGAGGTGGGAGGATTGCTTGAACTCAGGACTTTGAGGCTGCTGTGAAACATGATTGTACCACTGTACTCCAGCTTGGGTGACAGAGTGAGACTCTGTCTCTAAAAATAAATAAATTACATGGTTTAAGGCTATATAAAATAGAATAGATAATTCAGAAGAATTTTCTCATTCAATAAATAAAAAAATACAATGCTAGGTGGCACACAGCAAGCAAGAAATAGAATTTCACAGAGAAGGTGAAGTTGGAATACAATCTTCAAAGGCAAGTATATTTTAACACATGGGTTGGGAGATGCTATTGTAAGTGGAGTATGAATGAAGAGATAGGGGTAGAAAGCAGATGTGTAAAACGGTACCTGAAGCACAGCAGGTGGAAAAACAGAGATAAGGCTAGATAGAGCATGGTCAGATTCTGTTGGCCACTGAACGCTATGCTAAGGAATTTAGGCTTTACTATGTTCACTAAAGGCTATGGAAGCCTGTGAATAAAAAAAGGTCATGATCTTATTTGTGCTTTAGAAAGATAACTGTTACAGGATGTTTAGGACAAGATTACCAGTTTGCCACTGAACATATTAAAATGGGAATGCCAGCAAGAAGACTAGACCAGCAATCCAGATCCGAGTGACATCAATATAAAAGGGATAGGTGACATCGTGTGACTCCAAGCTTTCAGTTGAGTTTCACAGAATCCTGTAACTACATATATCAAAGGTTATGGGATCCCCTCATGCGCTACTATAACACTGCCTTTGTTTTCTTTTTATATTTTGAACTTTGTACCATTTTGTTTGAAGAAATAGTCTTCATCCAAGAGATGCATGCAGACTGATATACTAAGGGGCATAATTTGAAGGTCAACTCTAAGGATAAAGGTAGAGGAGCCAACAAATGAGATGAAGCCAAGCTTGCAGAGAACTAAGAGACACACCAAGAGAACAGTCCTGGAAACCACTGGAGGAGTAAACTTGAAGAAAAAAAAAAATCGGTCATTTTGTAGTAATTTTCTAGCTGGTGTATTTTTGCTTAGCATCCTGAAGTTGAACTAAAAAAACTGTAATGGCTAAACTTGAAATTTTCATGTAAATATTCACCTGAATCTGGTTTTGCCAAATGTTTCCATCTGTTTTCTGTTTATACAAATACAACGAGCTGACATTGAGCTTTTCCTATAAACAACCTCCCCACCCTCAACCCACTGAAAGGCGAACTTAGCAGTATCTTATTCAGACAAACGAAGCTGGTTATCTGAATCCGGTCTTTTTTTCCCAACTGAATTTAAGCAAACAAAGTTGAATACAGAAATTATCTACATGTCTTTTAAAACACTTATGTAAATTAGGAAAGGATTCAAGTACTCACTGCTACTTCAGATTAGAGAGACCAGAATATGATCCCAATCGAGAGAGATTAAAGGAATACAACTTCCATGAATCACTGCCAGCTCTCCAAACCTCAGCCTCATAAGTCTCATGATTTTTCATTTCTCTTCTCTGGTCCTCTCACTTACTCCAGTGAAAAACAAAAGGGTTCTGACAGTAAGTTATATGGAGATGTTTTTTGTACCTATTAAATTTTTATAGCAGTTATCTGTTCTTGGCAGATAACTTCATAACAATGGTAGGGTCTTCGCCAAAGTACTGCTTTCAGAAAAATTGCACTGAAAGTCTCAGGAGGACTAATCTCAATGAACAGAAGTGTGCAGCAGACCGAGGACCAAGCGAGTCATATGCCATTCATTTGATTCTCATTCATCTATTGCACAAGACACATGTTCAGATCGTAAAACTAAATAACTCCTTTGGCAACACCACAAGGTGAAATACTTTTAATGTATTCACTCAGGGATCCCCAGCTGCTAGTCAAGCAAAATAACACTAAATAAAACCAAAACACCACTCCTGTAAAATCTAGAACAAGCCAGAGTATATCACTTTATCTTGCCTTTTTCACTTCCAGAAGCTCTGATGTACTTGTTGTATTTAATAAGAGGTCCTACTTTCTCATCAATTGAATATTTTTTTAAAAGCCAAATAATATAAATATAATTTCAAGCCAAAAAGATAATACGTTCAGGCTTTTGGTAACCAAATCTTAATAAAATCTTTGCTATTACTATGCACTTCCTAAGATCAACAGAGACTGAGTCCTGTGAAAATGAAAGCATCACAGTAAGGACATAGAAAAGTTTCCCAGGACTGGGAGACCACAAACATCCAGGTTGTTTATGGCAATAATGACAAAGAGGTATTGGACGCTTACCATAGAGGCAAGTACTGTGTTAACTGCTTTAGACACATCGACCCATTTCATCTTTACAAAAATCCTAAGAGGCAAATGCTATTAATATCTTCACTTTACAAGTGATGAAATGGAAATTAGCAAAGTTAAGTAACTAGCCTGAGGTCATAAATAAAGTATTATAGGCTATAAATGTGGTTAATAGCAATGTACATTCATCAACCTCCTATCATGTATTAGGCCAAGATCAGGAAGAAAGAGAGGGACCTTGGGTTATTTAGACCTAATTGCAACACTAGGAAAGGGTCTTTTCTGGAAACGCTTTCAATAGTGACAATTTAAACTTTCAACAGATTTAGGGGCAGGGAGCTTATGGCCACTTAAAGTTGCTCATCTTGACTTTAAACACGCTAAATATTTTTTTTAAAGTTGTTTATATTCAGACTCAAATCTGTCCCTAGAATCTTCCATACATTGACATTACTTTTAACCTCTGGAACTAAACAAAACCAACATAGCGCTTTCTACACCACAGCTTTTCAATTATTTAAATTTAATTTGCATTAGGCAGCAAATAAACCACAAGGTTTACTTTTCTAAGCTAAATCAATCAGATGTATTAATTATTTCATGATCATTTATCATCATGGTTATCTTCCTTTGAAAATATTATCAATAAATCCTTCTTCTAGTCTTCCTAATAAGGCCTGCTAAGTCTAGAGTACAATTGATCTCTTACTTTTCTTATTGGAGAAAATATAGTTTATTAATGTGGCAAAATACTGCTTTTGTTTTCTTGCTAATCATATTATACTGTTAATGCATACTGAGTAACTAACACAATTCAGAGATCTTTTTATATTAAGAATTCTGAATCTATACCTCACCATAATTTTCATCATTGGTTTTTACTATAAGTACAGAAAGATTATAAACTAGTACAATCCTAGATTTAGAAAAGGCCATGTCATCACAAGCCTTATTTAACCTTTATCTTGTTAGGTTTAACTCAAAAGTTCCAGCATGAGGTATATTTGAATTTGGATGCCTTCATTCAAAATAACTAGGTATTTTTCTAAGTATCCAAGCTTTTTACTAACCACAAACTTGGCAAGATTATCTTCCTAGTCTGTATCCAAGTGATCAGTAAAACGGGCCAAGTGCAGATTCCTGTGACATATCTCAAGAAACCTCTCTCCATGCTTATACTGATCCATAAATGACAAGCTATTCACAGGTTTTCCTAAATAATTATATGAGGACTAAGCTGAATATCTCTTTTACAATAATGATAAAGTCTTAGCTCACAGGAAGCTATCTCATCCTAGAAATATAAACATCATTGAGATTAGTCACGAATAAGCTGAAATTCTTGGATACAGGGGTATGTTATATAACACGATTCACTGTAGACTTTGGATCTGATTTCAGCGCTTCTTTTAATTCTTCACTTTTCAGATTGGTTGGTCCTTACTGTGGCGTGAATGCTTTGACATCTCGATGATGAAAGCAATAAGTGAGTGCCAAGATTTATCTCCTAAAGGAGTCTAGAGATGTTTGCATATTTCCCTCTTTGTAATATACCTATGTCCTTCTAAATATTTTTTATTAATATGATTAATGAGTATTATAGTAAGCAGCTAGATCAAAAAGGAAAATAAAACAATAAAAACTCCAAGAAACCTGAAATTAAGGAGAAATTGGGGCCGTATGAAGCTAACCAGATTATCAGGCTACCAGAATTTCTAATACCTGAGAGAACCCTCACAGAACTGCTAAGGCTGACAGGCCACCCATCTTTAAGCCAGGTTATTGAAGGCAGGGGAATTCCCGAAGCTTCACAAGTCAAGGACACAGAGTTCTTTTCCACCACACTGATATTTTCAGGTGCCCCATGGTTTCCTGTGATGCTTGGAGGGGCTGTAAGACAAAACAAAACAAACAGGAAATGGAAAGCAAGGTAGCTAATGTACATCAAACACCAAATCTTAAACAGCTTATTGTTACTAATAAAGCTTCCATTTTTTGGTCACCAGTAAGCAAAATAAGTAACCACGACAATGAGCTATTTTTTTGTGTGTGTGATATTCCTGGAAGTAAAAATGTCATTTCTTCCCCATTCTTAGCAGTAAATGACTTTTATATTGGTATTCCAATAGTGGTTAGTGATTTTGTATGAGTTACTCATCTTTTCTGGTAAATTTACAATATGGATTCATGACCTTCTTATGGGCAAGATTTTCTAAAAAATAATTCTAATCCTAAAAATTAAGAGTAATCTAACAAAAAGATATTTCAGATTAATTCATTTTCTGTTTTGTATTGTGATTCATTTTGCTTTGGAGCACACACCGGTTGCAAATTACAGGATATTAACATTGAACTTTGTACATGTCTTAACTGGATTTAAGTTACAAGATTTGTGTCCATTAAACTCACCATTGTTTCTACAAATTTAAAAATTATACTTCAAATTTTATGCATTCAAATAGTTATCCTGTGTATGTGTATGTTTGGTCTGTTCCTACTGACATTTAGGGCTCATTTAATTAGACTATTAAAGCTAACTTCAGTATAGTTTATGCCTAACTGATGAACCTATGTTTATATTAACCTAGGTAAGCCAGCAAATTTGGAAAACATATAATACAGGAATTTTACTTGGTACAGCATTGGACCAAAAGCACTTAAAGAAAACAATTTTCTATTTTACTATGTGCTTTCCTAAAAGAATACCCAATATGTGCTTATCTCAGCAAGGTAAATAATGTGAGGTCAGGCATAGAAGGATAAATGATAAGACTGATCAAGGAAAAGTATATGTTTTAAAAAGGATGGACTATAAATAAATGACTTTCAATAGTTAAGCCTCTACTTTCCATCCAGGATGTTTGATTATATCAGCCAGTGAATAGACCTACTGGGCCTCTTTTTACTTACCATGTACACTTAAGTCATATTTTCTGTCAGTCATTCCTGCTACATTTACAGCAACACACACATAACGGCCTGTGTCAGATACATGAATGTTCTTCAGCTGAAGGATGCGACCTTCATCCAATATTTCCACTCCTCTTGCCTTGGTCAAGGGGCGGCCATCTTTCATCCAGGTGACTGTTGGTTGAGGAATACCCTGCACCTCACACTCCAAGGAAATACTCTTGCCTCGAATCACAATAATTTCAGTAGGGTGGCTGCCACTGTTGGTTATGGTTGGTCGAACTGGGCAGGGGGGAAAGAAAAAAGAAACAAACAGGAAATATGTGCTTCAAGTCTAAATAGGAATTTACATCAGCCAAAGTTAAATACATTTTTTGTGTTAAAATATTAACTACTAAAGAAAAGACCCAGGACTATTTGATGTGGAATTACTATATTAACAGGTGGAATTCTTCTCCAATGTTTCTAAACGGGTTCCTACCTAAAATGAAACTGTCAACACAGTAAGAAAAGATTGTTGTGCTTTCTTTAATACAAATATTTGAACTTATCACATGTAGTTCTGTTTTACA